GTGAGGGGGGCACCAGATATTTACCAACAGGTAATCCTGGTATTGTCCCTTCCTACTAACTTTCCCGAATAGCCTAGCTTGGAACAGAAGATGTCCGGCTCAAGCTACACCGCGGGCACTACCACCGCCAGCAATGCGTTAGGGGCTCGTCCGCATTTCCCGAGTGCTTCGTTTATACATATATATATATATCTATGAAAGTTACATTATGCATGGTGGTACATAAATATTACTTCTACATTACAACTAATATTATTTAACTAGGCAGAAAATCATTTTTTTAATTTTCGGGGAATTATTGAATATGTTTAGCCTGCATCCTTTTTAACCTTTAAGCAAAGTATTGGCCCACCAGCGGTCGAGCCGTAAAAGTCGCTGAACACTGGTAGTTCGATCCGGGGTTTGAATAACAGGCTGGCTGCATGGTGTTTTTCCGTGTGTAACGTGGATACGAATCATTTTCCCTTAGAATGTCCTCCACGGAGCATCCCTCTCTTTGTCGGATACCACTGTGTGCGTAATCAAATAATAATAAAAAAATCAAATTATTATATCATTGTTATCGCTTTAGCATTATATTAAAGAGTGAATTAGCATTTTAGCGTACTCATACACTAACTTTAGAGAGATGAAGAGCTTTGTAATGTTTCTGGAAAGATGAATTTAAGGGAAGTACCGATGTCTGGAGCCAAAACATTAAAATAGGAACTAAGCAGGAAAATGTAACATTTGAAGTTTGAATGAAAACACCAGGACCATAGTAAGATCAAAAAGAAAAGATTAAATACTTTTGCCTGTAAAAACCAAATATTTTGATCTAATATTTTTGCCAGTAAAGACCACAGATTTTGCCTTGCGGTTTAAGCCCGGAAGAAGTTAAAGCTGATGCTTACTAGCGCAAAGATTATGTCAACTAAGATTTTCCTGTCAACAAATGATGTAAAAAGCATAAAATGTATGAATGAATAACCTCCCTTTAAGTCCGTGATTGCAGATTTCAAGGAAGTTTAATATAAAAACTACGCAGCTTTCAAAAGTGGAAAGGTTTTGGACTAAAAAAGCCATTTTCCAAATTGCGGGCTTACTTACTAATTGCCTTTCGTTGAGGGAAAGAGCGATTCACAAGAAGCCGGCACTGAATTATTAATACTTACTCCGCTAGCTTTGAGTGACGGCTAACGGAGCTCAATTTACAATAAATTCACTGGTTATGCAAATCAAGAGGGTGAGATCAATGTAATTAGTCTGCGCAGAGTAATATTTCATCAGGGCGATACGAATAGAAACGCATCTCCAGCTCACTGGATATTAAAGGAATGGCTGCACTGCATCCATTCGGAAAATGGCTGCACTGCATCCATTCGGAACATCAAATAATGTTTCGAACAGGATGGGAGCTATGTTAAGATTAAATGAAGTACATTAAAGGCAAATTCGTTGAGAATTTCTTGCAATTTAACGCACTATTTTGCAGCGACAATGTTTGTTTAAGTAATTGTATCAATATTAAGCTTTAAGAATGAAGGGGGTTTCATGTAAAATTAATTTTACACTTTTCAAAGCATTCTTAGGATTCAGCTATCTTTCATTTCATAAGAAAATTAATTCTTAACAAATCTAAAAGTTAAATGAATAATTTAGCTCAAAAAGTTTTCATACGACCTCTTTCTCAGTGTGTCCTATAAATCCTTGTTTCAAAAAATTATAAAAATCATTAAATCAGTAGCTGAGTGAAGTTTGTTCGAAAACTAATCGAAGGGAGGATTTTTTAGGGATGGAAAAAGCGAAACATGTTATAAATATATACTCCCTTTTCTTAGAAGGTACTGCACCGTACTGTGAGTAATGATCGCAAACAGAATGGCACTGAAAACGGTTTGCTCAGATCCCAAAATCTTTTCGTTACATAATACAAAAGTAGTTGTTAAGAAAATCCGTCGAAAGACAAAACAATTTAGTATTTTTCAGTGCTATTTGGACCATGTTTTTTTGCAACCGTTAGGATAAAGGGTGAAAATTTCAACTCAATATTCATCCTTTTTCCTCTCGCCCCACACTCCGGAACATAAATAATGAACACCTCGTTGTTATTCATTTTAGTGAAAACCGTATTCGGTTATATCTATTTATGTGACTTATAAAGTTTTGAAATCTTTTAGGATTAGCATGTATTTTGGATTAATATAATTATTTGATAATTTTAAATAATAAAATAAATAACTTGGAATAATAAGGGGCAAATTCAGCATTCGAAGTACTATAAAGCTGCAGATTCATTAGGCTTATCAGACCCGGACACATGAAAAATGATAAATGCCTTTGCCGGGATTTGAACTCCGATTGCCAGCCAGACGTGTTTCCGATTACACTACGAAAGCACGCGACAAGGAAGGGAAAAAAAATCCTTTACGAAGTTTATTAAAAAACAGTATTAGAATACATAACTGCGAAGGGGAATCACAGTCAATTGATCAATAGTCACGTTTATAGAATGTTAAGTGTTACCATACATTTTTTTATATGTAAATAGATGAAAGTATCCTGATAATGAAGATCTGGATATCTTCATCTGTTGTTGCTGTTGCTTATGCTCACTTGTCTGACGTAGTCAGCCCAAGCCCGCGAAATTCCTCGTGGCGAGGAGCGCTAGAATACGTCTGCCGTTGGCAACAACCTTGAGCACCATTCAGGTGACAGTGCAATTTACTCGGTTCCGTCCCCAATTTTGATGGATATGGGCCCGAGGGTCTTCCACCCCTCTCTCCTTCCACCAAACCACACGAAAGGACTTTCGGCTCGCCGAATATTTAGAGAGTCGTTATTTAGAATGCCTCCTCCGGGATTTTTGGCTATTTTTTTTGCTCTTCTGGCATGTTTTTCACAGAGTTTATACGAATTGTTAACTCGCAAAAATACTAACTCTATATCTGAAAACCCTGGAAAATTCTGGAAAATATTGTAGTGTTTAATTTAATTATTCTTCATTTTGAAGTTGCGAATGGCAACGATTTTTAAAGCAATTTAAAATGGAATTTTAAGTTTTAAAACTTTTATTCTGGGAAACAGGTAAAATTTTTTTACACACACACATATATATATGTATATATATTTACACTTGAAATTGTGAATCTGAAGATTCCAATAATACAATAAGTAGAATATTATAAGAATAGAAGGATAGAATAATAGAATACCATATATAATTAGATCTAGTTTTATGATTTGCCTTCTACGAGCTGTTCTGATGTTAGTTTTAAGATATTATGAGATGAGTTCAATGACTTTAGTTATTATTTTCAGCTTTAGCAGTGACATGAGCATCTCGGTTAATAGGGTTCAGAAAGGCAAAGAAGGGAAAAAAAAAAAAAAGAAAAAAAAAAAAAAAGAAAAAAAGTGCGCGGCATGGGCGAAGTCAGCTGATCAATGTTTACAAGTTATATTTTCAAAAATGAGAGTAATCAAAAACGGTCTGAGAGAGATCATTGAGTAGTTAAATAATTTTAACTGTCTCTTTGCGCTCGACGAGTTAACATCAATATTAACTCATCAAAAAAATTATTCGAGACAGATCATTGGGAACTAAAAACAAGGGCGGAACGTGGACAGGACATGGGTCCGTCGGTTGGTCAGTCTAAATCAAAGCATTGTTTGATTCGTTAGAGAATCGAAGGCTTACTAGGTATTTAAGAATTCAAAATAATAATTTTTAGACTTAAAATTGTCTGGAAAGTAAATACACTATACAAGGAATTTCAAAATCTCTGATCTATAATATATTGAAATAGAGAATAATATCATTTGAAATCATTCAAAATTTTATTATCTCATTTACTTCTTTTTCTTTTTAATGTAGGCTTCCACTATCCCAAAGTAAGGGTTTAAGCACATAAACACAGCAAACTCAGTAATTCTAAAGACCAACTAAGATAATAATCCAAAAATATCCATTGGCTAGCATATAAAAAATTAAAAGCACCTCTCATGAGCCCTAGAGGTGCTACGGTTATCATATCTGTGCCACCCACTGATGACAGTGGCGGGCGATGGCACAATAAACTTCTTAAGATTTCTCGCATCTAAACTGTTTCTTTCTTTCTTTCTTTCTTTCTTTTTTTTTTTAAGCAAATTGTAAAAAAACAATCAAACATCTGCCAAATCAAAAATCAGCAAAATACACACATACAGAGTAACAGACAGATTTTTATTATAAGCTCCTAATCTTCTTCGTTAAACACCATCCAATTCAAGAAAGACTGCTGTCAAAGATCAATCTATGCCATCTTTGAAGCCAAGACTTGAATTAAATTCATCATTTCAACTTTAGATGGGTAGAGTTTCGGCAGTGAGGATGAATGACAACAAAATTCGGGTGGTAAACAAAATTTATTATCTTAGAACTTTTGGAAAAAGGAAGTAAGACACATAAATCTTCACTCTTATGAGCACACTTCCTTGAATATCTAATAATCCATCATTCATCATAATTGCATTAAAATATGCTTCTCCTTGCGAGAACTTTCTAAATTATGACAGGAAATAACAATTTTTTATTACGTGTAACTGAAGCTCGAAAGAAGAAAAGAATTAAAAAAAAAAAAAAAAAAAAAAAGAAAAAACTCGCAGTACTATAAAGCAAAGGTTAAGGGAAAAAGCACTAAGATATAAAAATAATTTATTCAACAGGTTGCACTGCAAATTATTTTCGATTAAAGTTAAAATTTACTCAGATTTTGCCTGAGCTCTCATCATTTGAAATTTTGTTGATTGACAGTAAAATAAAAACACTGACGTAAAAATGTGTTTCATACCAGCTAACATTGAGGATGATCTAAATAAATTAATTACCTGACTCAAATATTTAATACTCTACTAGAAGTAAACCTAATCGAGAAACATTTTATCATCGGTAATAATAGTAACTGTAACATATGTAGAAAACGCATCATATACTTGAAAAGCAAATTAACTGTTGATAGTAAGAGAAACTAAATGTCACTTACTTTGTAAGCGTCTCTAAAGATGAAGTATAGATGGAACCACCGACGTCTATATGGACAGGAGCTGTGTATCGAGAGGCTGCTGCAACGCATGGAATTCCGGATATCTTATGATTGTAATTTGCATCGGTCATCAACAGTTTCTGATCCATCAAAGCTCTGAAAAGATACGAAATCTGTTAAGTATGATCGAATTACGCATTCACATAGGAAGAAATATAGTTGTTGTTATGTCTGTGGGACATGATAAAGCATTTTAGCAACAAAAGCATATTTAGTTTAAAAAATAAAGTATAAATAATAAGTTGTTATGTCTGTGGAACATGATAAAGCATTTTAGCAACAAAAGCATATTTAGTTTAAAAAATAAAGTATAAATAATAGTTGTTATGTCTATGGGACATGATAAAGCATTTTAGCAACGAAATAATATTTAGTTTAAAATAAAGTATAAATAATAACGCAGACTGCTTTTGATGGTGACGTGGAGAAACAAGAAACAAAGCAAAACTTACTCAAAGGAAATGGCAGATTAAAATACGACATGATATTTGGTTTTTGGAGACAACTCAGAATGTACAAGAATATATATCCTTAAGTTTATGGGTTAGTGTTTCTCAAAGTTATCACGCTATTTTAAATTTGCGCATTCAAAAAATATCAGTCTTGACTTTTCTAAAGGGGAACCCGCAAAATAACTCTGGCTTTAGTTGGAGCATTAGAGAAATAGATAATGAAAAATAAATCCATTTAATAAATAATATTTAATACTGAAGCGATTGATAGTATAAACATTCCTTTGGAAGCTATAAGTACCAATTAAAATCAAGAACTAGAAATACATTTCGTGCACTGGATTTACAAATGTAATCAAACTCTTTAGAAACAACACTGAATTTTAGGAGTACATATTTTATCGAGTGTATTATCCTTAGTTTGCTTGGCTTATAGAATTTCTATAAATAGAAGGAGAGCCATATTTGCATATTTTTTCACTTGTGGCAAAGAGGTAAATTCGCGCTTCTCTATATATTGAAAATTAGAAGGGAGCAAAGCAAGAAAAAATTATATATACATAAACAAGAAAACTTTATTTATACACTTTTATATTTATATTTATAAAGGAAATTACTTCAAATCATAGTATATAATAACTCTTCAATCACAGCTTTATATATCTAGAAAATGATACATATTAATAATTTACAGTTTATAAACGAAAATGCTAAAAATTACCGTATTACATTAAAGAATATTTTTAACACTGCTTCCAAGTTCGGATATTATTGAACTAATCTACAATTGTGAATTGTTTTTAATAGCTCTAAGCTTTCCAGAAATGTTGCTTTAGTATCTGAAATTATTGAAATAACTTGACTTAAAACACTGGATATCTCTGACTGAATTTCTGTAGCATTTATATTATTCAGATCGTTAAGTGCTATATTATAAGCAGTTATCTTTGAATTATCTAAATTCAGTGAGGTCATATTGTCATTTCAATTGTGAGATTAAAACAACTAATAATTTTAAATCTTTTTTTTTTAACTTTAAAAAAGTTTTTATTCTTAATAAAAACTTCATTAACTTTTGTTTTTAAATTCTATTCGTATATTTATTTTAAATGCTAAATGTTTCTACTTCTAAAGAAAATAGGTAAATTTTTCTATTTCTAGAGAGAAACATTACTTTTAGAAATACTTTCTCTCAAGAAAGACATAATACCTCTATTTAGAGGTACGGCTTTTATAGGTCGTTATAGTTTCTAATTACAAAGCATCACTTATTTTTTCCTTTTCCTTGCAGAATGAAATTCCATGCTAATAACATACATATCTGAAAACTTTAAATTGGGTTTGTTTCAAAATGCTGTTTATTTTACGTTCTTGTAGTGATTTATCACTTGATGTCATGTCTTTTAATAACCGATATACTTCGACTATTTGCTGATTCAGTTCTTTAACAGCATTTGTCATTGTCAACATATCTGTGCCACGTTTGATTATTTTTCAAACGGACATAAATGCATCCCATCTACTCGGCGAAAATGCAAAAAATTATAGATCTTCCGTACAGCTCCAAAAATATATTGACATGTTTCAATAAAAAGCGGCATTTTTGAATACTAAATTTAAACTACGGGGTGACCAATATATTTAGAATGACCAGTTCTTTGTCATATAATTGCTTTCACGCCTTTGTACAGCCCAGCCATGTTGTGTCATAATCACATACTTGACGTCGAACATTTTGAATACTGAAGCCATCCTTTTCTACATTAAGAAAGCTTTTATTTCCTAGATCATTACCAGTTTTCTTTGTTGTTTCTATAAAATAGATAAAGCTTTCGTCAATGGCTATGGATTAGTTTTTTTTATGTGCACAAGGTATGTACTGCTTGTACTTTGATGCATCATGTGTACAATCTCATATCAAAGACATATATTTCTGTTCTCCACTTTAAGAATTTCAAATTAAACATGGCTATCTCACATCTACTGAAGTAAAATGTTTTCAAACATAAGAATTATATCTTTTAAATTAGTTACTTAAATAAATCAACGAAACTAAAAAACACGTTTGTCAAAATTTTATTGACTGTACTTACATTCACAAAAAGAACACTTATTACTATTGCAAGATATTAGAACACGGATTTAATTTTATGGTGGCTAATAGACACCGCTCGCACATTCAACTTTTTGTAAAAAATTGTATGGCGCTTGTTGTCGTACAGCAAAAAATATTTCATATTCTAATACTAGATGCATAAAATTTTCATTAATTTGGCACCACATTTAACAATTTGACTTCGCAAAATCCATAACAACTCTTGATTTATACTAATAATCCTATGCAGGACGTAATATTATTGACGCAAAATGAGCATGGCCTTCACGATAAAATGATTTGATTTCCCTAAAAGTGTACTAACATGTCTATCGCTGGTTCGAATTCCATTACGCGCAATGAATTTTACAACTTCTTCATCTCTCTTTTCTCCTCCTTTAATATAGATTAACAAATAATTCCTTTCAGTATTTTAAATTAAACGTTTAACTTTCATTTTAAGAGTGATGCCTGATGGAGAAAATTCTTCCCAGCAACAGTTAAATAATAAGTTCTATGCTTCTGCTTTTCCCGTTAATGTGAGTGTTGACAAGTGGCCAAGTGTGGCAACAGCTTGTCTTGTTTCGATTTATGGCGAATGGATTGGTTGTGTATAGTTTTCGGATTTTTACCACGTGTAACTTCCACAGCAGACAGTTCTTTTGGAATATCCTCCATCAAGCACCCCTTCTAAAGAAAGTAGCCCTACGTACTTTAATATAAACAATTAATCAACGAATTAGTAAACCTTTTAGCAGGAAAACAAGTATTTATTGTAAGAATATAGGTCATTGTTCTAATCATATCTCAACAATTTAAGCTCAGTTTTAAAACTAGTAACTTTTTAATAATACTTCATGCTTTCTCGGATAGCCCAATCGGCTTCAATGTATTGAATTTTGGGAATATGATAGGTGTTTAAGACTAATTTTTTTTTCGCAGCAGTAAACAAGTTTTCCACTCCTGCTGCATTTTTTTCTAAATCTTTAAATCATAGTTTTATTGGGTTTATTTGTTTATCTTTCTCCAAGTTTCAATCTCAACGACACTATATTTCTTAAAATTTCTTCACCAAGTAAAATGTACTTTAAATGTGTTATCTTAGAATTAATGAAAGGAAACTAAACATTTTAAAATATGTTATTTTATATCAATATCAGCTATATTAGAATTATTAAAATGATGTCATAAATTCCACAACAAATTTAAAATGCGATTTTTTTTTTTAACTTACTTAATATTAAACAACTCTTTTTATTGTTTCATTCTAAAAAACGGAACAACTCATAAAAGAAAAGTCACCTTTTACCTGATATCATTATGTTCCACTGCTGACAAAGAATGAGACAAACTAACGCGCCTATTCTTTTAATACATCCTGCAACGTGTTTAACTCCTCCAGAAATAATAATAAACCACAGAATGCCAGCACAAATTAAATATAGATGCAACAAAATAAACCCCCGAACCATGTGTTTTATTCAGTTGCAAATTTTACATACGAAATGAAGCAAAGACTGATAATACGCTATATTTCATATTCAAACATTCTTGTTTGGTATGCCTGTGCTATTACAGTGAGTCTTATATTTTAGGTCCGCTGCAACAAGCTAAGAGCAACTGGTGTGGTGTGGTGGTGTATTTAATTATGGCAAAGCCAACTAGGGCGATCTGCCTAAGAGGAGGGGTGCTTTCGTGGAGGACTTTCTAAGGGAAACTGGCTCGTATACATGTTACACACGGTGGAAAACCACGAAAATGCCCATGCAGCCAGCCCGTTCGCGGGATTCGAACCTCGGACCGAACTACCAGTGTTCAGCGACTTTACCGCTCGGCCGCTGGTGGGCCCCTAAGAGCAACTAAGTCGCAGTCCATACTCAGTTTTTAGACATAGGAAAGCTTATTATGGCAAAGAAAGAATAATAAGCGCTACTGTTCAGACTGAGGAAGACTCTGCAGAATTACTAATGCAAGAATGCTTTTTAGGTAAGTTTAATTTATGCAGTTCATTACAGCAATTTTAAATGATCTTCAATACGTTAATTCAAACAACCAATTTTAATGACAGAAAATAGTGTATTTATATATATAGTACTGTAAAACCTCAGCACATTCGAGAATAAATTAATTTTACATACGAAATGAAGCAAAGACTGATAATACGCTATATTTCATATTCAAACATTCTTGTTTGGTATGCCTGTGCTATTACAGTGAGTCTTATATTTTAGGTTCGTTGCAACAAACTGAAAGCAACTGCGTCGCAGTCCATACCCAGTTTTTAGACGTAGGAAAGCTTATTATGGCAAAGAAAGAATAATAAGTGCTACGGTTCAGACTGAGGAAGACTCTGCAGAATTACTAATGCAAGAATGCTTTTTAGGTAAGTTTAATTTATGCAGTTCATTACAGCAATTTTAAATGATCTTCAGTACGTTAATTCAAACAACCAATTTTAATGACAGAAAATAGTGTATTTATATATATAGTACTGTGAAACCCCAGCACATTCGAGAATAAATTAATGCTATTAATGCTTTTTTTAATTT